AAAAAAAAAAAAAAAAAAAAAAGATATAGAAGAAGACTCAGCAAAAGAACATGTTTAATCCTATTAAAATTAATGAGATTTCATCCTGGTTTCCACACACTAGTTGTAGTAGGAGTTTAACTTAAGTGGATTTAAAACCAGATTTAGTTAAAGTGCTGCAAAGTCTCCCCAAGCCAAACACAAACATAAATCCAACATAAACATACATGTAAAATTCAACACAAATTTTATCAGCCGTTCTCCTTCACCCTTTTTTTTCTTAAACTAATCTGAAACAAAGGACACCATGAGAAATATATGCTCACGTGTTTTGCTGGACTATTGTRTAAGTAGTTCTCCAGGCTTGGCACCAAGTCAGAGGCAGGTGGAGCCAGGAAAGGCAATCCCAATGCCCTCCTGGACAGTCATTGTTAGTAGAAGCAGTGGAGGGGACTTGTTCAATGTTAATAAAAAGRCTTTTTGTACAGACACCACCTCCCCCTCCCTCTCTGCGTACTTAGGGAATAACAGAGGCAGCTATGGGGGCTTGGACACCCCATAGCCACATCTGCAGAACACAATTTARTTGCCCTTTAGGGGACACAGCCCAACTGAGACTTCCCAAGCAAAGTTGCCAGGAATTGTGGCAAAGGCACAGAGCAAATCCACATCACTACAACCTGCACTGCCAGCACAGGCCAAACTTTCTGCATGAATGGAGGGCCAGCTGGTTCCTCAAGCAGGTGCAAGATGTACAAACGRACTTTGGGTCCTGTCACCCATGGCAGGGTGCAAATAAACAAGTACCCATCTCCCTGGCTCTCTGCTTTCTGTTCCTTTCTTCATACCMCGTTGTCCTGTCAGAAAAAAACAACCAAACAAGCACCCAGTGTGCTTTCCAAATGGCTGACAAGTTATCACATGAAACGGGAGGAAAAGACGTGATGGAGAATCCAGACCCGCACACGGTCATTTCAGATATCTCACAACCTGCAAAGGATGTTTAAAGACCAGCCTTCCTACCATGGCGATGCCACCACTGGGGAAAGGGTTTCAGTGCCATCCTGTTTGACAGCACAGCACCACCTCGGTGCCAGTGCAGCAGCACATCCACCTCCCAGCACTAAAACCCAAGACCTGAGCCTTGGAGGTCACACCCAGAACAGCAAAGGAAAACAAAGCCAGCAAAGGAAATGGAAGACTGTCAGATATTTTGGCACCTATGGGAACAGACATTCAAAATTGCCCTGAGGAAACCTTGTTCCAATGAAAACACAAGAACAGCAAAGCACAGCCCTCAGCTAAATGCAGGGTTTTCTCCTACAGAATCAAAGCAATGAGCAATCCAGACAGCAAAACAGCAAGCAGCCAAGTGCTACTTTACACACCAGCAAGACAATCAAGTGGTTCCATGGAGCATTAAAGCCCACTTCTGCAGTTCCTACCACTTGCTTTCATTAGATAAGTTGTTCACAGGCACATGCAGAAATTCCTTCAAGAATCAGGTCCCCATACCATGGTGTCCTTTCCTGACTGAATGCTGGACCACAAGAACCCTGGGCACCTCACCTGCATGGGTACTCTGTTGGGATGCCAGCAGTCAAAAGCTGGAGGAGCTGTGAACCCAAAATGCCCAACCAGGTCCTGCCTGCACTGATTTTCAGCATTGTCATTGTCTCTGCAGTGCCAGAAGCATCCTCAGATCCCAGCTGCCAATTCACAACACCTTCACTAACTCCTCCCAGTCTAAGCTGTAGGAAGGGAACAGAAAATGACTGAAGGAATGAACACATCAAATGCTTGCTACCATCAAGCAAGAAAAGGTTCAATCACAGTTGATTTCACAGGACTTCTTGGCTTCGCTGTCAACAAAGCCTTTGGGAGCCCCTTCCACACCCAGCCAGGCTGGGKATCATTGATATGTGGGGTAGGACACCTGCAGAACAGGCTGGAAGCTGGGAAGGGAACCAGCCTTGCTGAGCCAGAACACACAGTGTCAGATGACATCCAGCAACAGAACACACAGCAGAGATATTACCCTCCCAGTCCTTTAATGGGCAGGAGGAAAAAAGGTTACAAAGATCATCTTGTCTGGCTGCTGGCTCAGCACAACCCATGGAGTTTCATCCAACAGTTGCTGTGTTGGACGGGGCAGGATGAGTATCTCATGTACCTCACAAATGAACTTTGAACTAGCTGTGTACATAGGTACAAACACCTCCTTCAGAAAAGCATCCCATCCCAATGGAAACACTTAAAATGGCCAGCTGGTGTGGATTTTCATCACTCTGCAGGGGAGCTGTGGCAATGCACAGCAGCTAAGGAACTACATGCAAGCCCTGGCAAACTGACTGCTTTTTCCTCCAGCTTTCCCATGCACAAAAGAACATCTCCATTCCTTAATGTCCCTGCAACCTTTTTCCTTGAAAACTTAGTAACATACAAGTGAAAAGTCTTCTAGTACATTTCCTGTAATCCAGGGTATGCATCCAGACATTTTAAATACTTCACCGGGTCTTCAGCATTGAAGTTTTTCATCACCAAAGAGTGAAATTTTGCTTGCAAATTACTCCCATGGCCTTCAAAAAGCCTGTGCCAGGAGACTCCCCTTAGAAGGCAGAGGCTTCAGTTTGTATGGATGTGCCAATAAGAATTTCAATAACAGATAACCAGATGCAAAGCCTGTTTCTGGCAGGTGTTTAGAAATCCAACAGTGAATTTGCAATTAAAACAAAAAATAAAGATGTCCTCACCAACATATTAAGAGGCATGTAGAGTGGAATTTCTCCCAGAAAAGGACTAAAACAATAAATGCTTTATATCTACATAAAAGCTAGAGCCAGGCAGCAAACATGCACAGCACATGCACAAATCTGCTACAGACATGAAAGCTAATAGGTTCCTTCTAAACTATCCATTGCCACATAATGGACTGCATTAAGATACATAGTAGTGGTTGATTATGGTAGATAGATTAGATTGATACAAACATACCTGTACTTTTGAGACAGAAACACTGCACCACCCTGCATCTTACAGCCTAATTTTCAAAGCTACGGCTCAATCACAAACCCTCTGAGGACTAAAGGGCACCAAATGCTCATTATCAGCAAATTTACATTGCTCATTAGGACTGCATTGCAATTTAGCTTAAGGTGGGGAGGATTTCTTGGGTTTGTCCCTCCAGCAAACAGTCAGCTAACTCACTTTATCAGGAAACAGCAGTGGTGTTGCATGACCAAGTCTGGCAGGGATTCAGTCAGCTAACATGYAGGACAGCAAGGCACATTACTTGACACGATCCTCTGACAGGAGCTTTCTTTGCCAATCCTAGAAAACAAAGTTGAGGAGACAGAGGGGAAAGTTAAAGGATTTGCTGAATCCACCAGAAGAAGATTCACTGCAATAAGATATCCCCACAAAATGCTGTATTTGAGAGCTTGGTCAAAGAGCAGTGTTTATTCTTCCTGCCATTTCCTGGACTCCAGCTGACACCTTGCTAACACTGCCCAGGGTACAGTTAAACCTTCTGAAGACCTTTACTTAAGGCAGGATAAATTGAAAAACATTTCAGTGCGATACCACAGGATGCCGCTTACCAGCGTAACCTCAACTGCACACACTCAATATTACTTACTGGGACACACGATATATTTACATATGAATGATGCCGTGCGCAAGGGTGGCCACTCCTACAGACCGCGGATCTTTGAGGTGGTCCATAAGGCCTAAATATGTTACACTCCGGCCGTGAGTTACTTGCTGAGTCAATCACCTCTTCCCCGCAATGAGACCCAGTTCTCCTCGCTCCCGCCTCCCCACCAACAAAACCATCTCCAAGCGTTCACAGACCGCAGGGGAGCAGAGCAACCGCTCCCTCCACCGCTACGGGGAGGGGGCTGCAACTTACTGCAAAATTTATTCGCAACTCGTGCCGCAAATGGACTCGCAACTCATGCGGCAGTTCGGAGGAACGGCTGCCGAGCCGCTGAAGCCCCACGCGGGCCGCGGCTCCTCGCCCGCCGACCCCGCACGGGCCCCGCGCCCCCACAGACCCCCGGCACCGCGCCCGTCCCGCCCGCGCTCCCTCAGGCCCAGAGCGAGTCACCGCCCGCCCGCGACTCACGGTGTGGCGGAGCCCGGCGGAGAGCGCGGCCCCGGGGCGGGAGAGGCGCTCGGGCGGGGCTGGCGCGGCCCCGCGGGCAGGGAAAGCAGGGAACGGCAGGGAAGAGCCCCGGGAACAGAAGGTACGGAGCTCCGGCGCCCCGCGGCCCCGCCACATGCCACGGCCAAGCCCCGCCCCGCCGCGCCCCCCCGCTCGCCATTGGCCCGCCGCCGCCAGGCCCCGCCCCTCCCGCCGGGCCCCGCCCCCGCCGCGCGCCCCGGAAAGGCCCCGGGATGGCGCCGGGGGCACAGGGCGGGCGCTGCCGCGGAAGTGACGGGAACCGCGGCCCCCGGACCGGCACGGGGTGCTGGGTGTGAATTACCCGCGGCTTGAGACCGGTGGGGTGTGTTTAGAGCCCTGACTAGGGTGCTGCCGTGAGAATTTGTGCTGACGCGAGGCATTTTGCCTTTTCTCCTGGGATTTCCGTACCGGGAATTCCGGCGTCACCGGCTGCGGGTCGTGRCACAGCAGGGGAGCGGCTTTAGCAAAGCTCCCGTTGATGCCAGCCCGTTTGGCACGTGTTTTCCGACTCCGGGCTGGACGCGGCTCCGAGCAGCCTCRTCTCATGGGAGGTGTCCCTCCAGCGGGGCTGGAACTGGATGAGCTTTAAAGRTCCTTCCAACCCAAACCAGTCATAATGACCACCCAGCAGGAAAAAAAAATAGTTAAATGTACTGGTTGACAGCATCTCGCCACCCTGGAGTATGAAAAACATGCATTCCATCATAATCCGGACATAACTCTTCTCATATAACCCCTACACAGTGCTAGTCTGCTTTATTGCGAGTCCATGGGCCACAGCATTGTTTAAACAGAGAATGGTGCTGAAATAAATACTAAATCAAATACCACTAATCAGCTCTTTGACGATTGTTTTGCTGGTTTTAGTGCTGCTGTCTATGGCAAAAGTTTGCACATCAGCAGCCCCCAGGTGCTTGGGGCAAACCCTAGCAAGCAATGGAGCTTTGAATCTTTTATGTACCATGTACTGCTCACGTAAATACAGACACATACAGGATATCAATGTCTGAGCTGCACTCTGAAGCATGGAACTGGCTCCTTGAAATGTGCAGAACTTCCAAGAAACTACGGGTGCCCATTTCAGAGCAAGCACCTTGTCTCCTGAATTCAGCTCCTTTAGGTTATTTCCAGATTGCCCAAAGAAGAGAGACAAAAACACTGGAAGAAATGATTTGCTGTGGGGGTGGTGAGGCACTGGATCAGTTCTCCCAGATAAGCTGTGGATGCCCCATCTCTGGAGGTGTTCAAGGCCAGGCAGGATGGAGCCCTGGTCTAGTGGAAGGTGTCCCTGTCCGTGGCAGGGGCATTGGAACTGGATGATCTTTAAGATCCTTTCCAACTGAAACCATTCTGTGATGCTGTGAAAAAAGAGTCATAAAAAAAAAGGGGCAGAAACCAGCCTTGTGCAAACACAGACAGAGTACAGTACATTGTACCATTAAAGAGGTGAGGAAGGAATCCTTGTTGTCTAAACCATCTGTGGATTTCTCTGCTACTGCTAATATGGCCGTAGATGAAAGTGATGCCAAAATCATTCACACATCCCAATGTAATTTTAGAACACAAAAATTCGCTTTTTAAAATGAGCAGTGAGGAGGAGGAGGCGGAGGAGCTGAAAACCCTGGTCCATCATTTCATTAAAAACAGACAACATGCAAAGCTGGCCAGCATTCTACATTATTACTCCATTTAAAGCATGTCAGTCTGTATACAAATTGTATAGATATATCATTCCATCATTGTGTAGGATACCAGCATTTACTGAAACATTCCCTCTCCTCCTTTCCAGAGGAGCAGGAAGGGAGAAGAAAGCTCTGCAATGTAAGAGAATTAGAAGAGACAGTTGAAGGGGGGAGGGGGACTGTCTACTGTGGACCAAATTATCTGGCAGGACCAAGCACAATGGTGAGGGAAATATTGTGAAGCTGTTGAGGGTGTGTGGCCTCTAGGGTTGGTATAGTGGAAAACAGCCACATTTCTGAGAAAAACAATCCCAGGAGAGGAAAAAAAYGTGCCACAGAGAAGTCCAGATGTGCAATGGGAAATTGGCACTGAAAAAAAAGCTTTGATTGTGCAAAGAGAATGGGATGTCGTGAATGTGCCCTCACTCACCTGTCTCCCTGTGATGCATGCAGAAAGTCAGTGGGGTTATTTTGTTTGAACACCCAGAGGGCACAATCTTGGAATATTTAGAGATCTTTGCAAATTTACATGGCTCATGTGAAAAGCTGGAGTGCTAAGACATGCTTGCAATAGCAGGTTTTCATCGAATATAAATGAGCTTTCAGTTGGTTTGCATTTATTCCAGATTGTCAGGAGAGTAGAGATTATGGGATATAACAAAATGCTGTCAAAGGGGTTTGGGCTTGWGGTGCAGGAAAGGAGATTTTAGGATATTAGTTTAAACACAAATGGCTCCAGTATAGTCAAGCTATGTCCCATATATTAACCCATTCAGGGACTTTGCACTGGCTGAGCTGGAGAACAAAAGGCAGGCCTGTGTTTAAGAAATAACACATTTTTGTTTTAAGAACAGATGGTMATTTGAATGGGGAATATTTGCTTTCCTGTACTATTCAAATAGATGTAGCCAGCTGGTGGAAATTAAAGAATAGTGATGCATCTCCAATTATGTCTAAGAAAATGTGGTACTACATTAAAACATGTGAAAGGTTGAAACTCCCTGCCCTGTGTTGTAATGGCCCRTTTTGTCCAGTGCCAAGAGAGGTTCCCAGCCTGCCTGGGAAAGTTGTTCCCCCAGGGAAGCATCATCTTTCCAGCTCTGTGGGTGGTACACATAAGCTGCTATAACAGAGTTTTAACTTGGTGAAGTTGAACTCTGGTGCAAGTCCAGTCTTAATTAAGCCAACAACATATTTAGCCTGCTATTATTTTTTCTGATAACCATCTTCTCATGGAGGACATGCCTGTGCCAACACTCAGACTGCGATTAGGGAAGAATCTGGCTAGAACTGTTGACAATATGTTTGCACAGTACTAAATACCATTTAATATGATCTGTAAATATTTACACTTGGAGGAAGAGATTTGCTCTTTGCATAGTTTGCATGCTGGCATCTGCTAGACTGAATAAATTACTAATAAAAATCACATTGGGAAAAAAAAAAAGCTTCCATGATGATTCTTTGGAGCTTTTTATTTTTAAAGACAGTGGTGTGATAAGGAAATACATACTCTGGGAATTACATTCTCTGCAMAATATCAATGCTGGAATAGGCACTATTGCTCTTTGCAACTGAGGCAGCACAGACTCCAGGTTTTCCTAGGCTGAGGAACACAAGGGACATTTTAGTTGGGGAAAGAGAGTCCTTGTTCTCCAGCAGCCAACTGTACAATGGCTTGCTTTGGTATGACAGTCTTGAAGAGATTTGGATTTCTTTTTGTTCCTGCATTGTTCCCAGCCCTGAATTCAGTCCCACCAAACCATGAGTCTGGCCCACTTTTGTAATTTTTGAATCTTTTCAGAGCATTCTAACTTCCTCAAGCAAAATACCGCATGCAAATCTTGACTATCATTTTAAATTGACTTTGGTGTATGTGAGAAAACATATGGAAATGTGAAACAAGTGCCCTTAAAAGTGATAATGTGGATAAACTTATCTAAATTTCAGTGAGATTAACTCCTCATATTTGAGCAGACTGGTTCCCATCCACTGATAGTAGYCACTTAGAAGTCAAATTTCATAAATCCCAAATGCTCTTTTTAATCTTATTTTAAAGCCAAGATCCTAATGTAATTTAGTTTTRACAATATCCACCAAATTAAAGAATTGCTCACAAGGAGAGACCATCAGACTGACTGCATTTTTAATTACTGTAAAGCAATAAATGCATGCAAACAAATTATCTTCTCTGTGCATCCACAGAACATTWCAACCACAGATACAACATTACTTGGGACTCATCCCGATGCTCCTGTTAGTGTTCAAACTCCCAGAGCTGTGCCACTGGCATCATGTTACTGCAGCTTTGCCATGAAAAATGCATATCACACTGTGCCAGAAATCCTTCCTCTCAGAAGCCATGGGAATCTCTGAAGCACGAGTTAAATATACATCACCTCCTCACAGAAGCAGATATTTCTAGCTGTGYGTTGTCAGATGTGTGTTGTACCTGACATCGTGGAGCAATGTGTTGCAACGTCCTGTACTCAGCTACCTTTACTTAGCTATCTTTTCTATCGTTTCCATCTTTTAACTAAGTCTGGGCTGAAAAGGGAGAGAACCTGGGACCAGCGAGAGCCACAAACTGCTCAGGCAGAAAAGGGTTGTCAGAGATGTGTTAAAATTGCTTTGGGGTCATGGCACAAGGCAGAAAGCAGCTCTTGAGAGGCTTCTATCCACAGCCCCACCATTTTGCCCTGCCAACACTTTGCAGCCAGGAAAATCTCTTAGCCAAGCACGAATTCCTGCTCCATCCGTGGCAGATGTGGTGAAGTTGGGATGGCAGTGCTGGTGCAGCTCACTCCGGGCTGCACTTGGCAGCTGTGATCCCCTGATGTGGCCCGGTTCACACTTCAGCGGGCAGGACTCCTGTCCTATACCTACACATCCTGTAGGGTTATATAATAAACCAGGACTGCAGCTTGCCAGATGAATTCATTCCAATTCCCAAGCATCCAAAGCCAAGCTTGCTGGCTGTCCCAGCATTTGGATTTCTCCTGACAGAGACTTCAATATCACCACAAGGGGGAGAATGTGGTGTTTGCTGCTTCTGTTTTGTAATGTTCGTGTTGAGAGATGAAGGATTTGTCCGATGTTTGCTGTACAGACAAACAAGAGCTGGTCCTCGCATGCCAAAACACCATTCTGAAGGAGAGCAGACAGGCTTTGTGTTTTCTGATAGGGCTGGAAAACACTTTCAGTGAGCTAACTGATTAATTCTTCCTAAGGAAAAGTGAAACATGCCGTGGCTGGACAATAAAATCTGCCGTGTCCGCGCAAGGATTTTATGCACGCCCCTCCTGGCACAGGTGTGACTGTACAGGGAAGWGGAAGGGCTGGGAGGACACATCAGAATGGACACATCCACTCCAGGGATATAGCTAAATTCTCATGAGAGCTGCTGCTGACCTGCTTTCTG